AATTTCTTATCCGGAAAATGAGATTGCACGATTAGAGACAAAGTTGTCAAAGTTTGAGCCGACAATGAGAAGACAGCGAGCGAGCTGAATTGCGAAAAGCTTTAGTTTCTGCACAGTGGTTGACGCAAAGGCTGACTTTGTCAATGCAACCTCAGACAGGAGGCTCACGTTCATTTGAATGAACCACTTGTGTTTTGCATGTTTGGCAAATCCGAATTGCTCCATGTTTGGCTCCGAGCAGAACGAGCTGCTGGAGACGAGTCGACGGCGTGCTCAAAAAAGTGAAGTGATCCAACTATGGCGGAAAAGTCTGAGGAGGGTAAAAGTCGACAGTGTTAGGACTGCATGACGGCTAATCTTCATCGCTGCGTCTTTTCCAAGAATATGCATAATCAAGTTATTATAAAGGAGGTTTTTTTTGCTGTTGCTGTTTATAACACAACTATAGCACTAAGATTAGCAGTCACCTGCAAGAATAATCTTACAGCTTTTCTCGTCTGTCATGAAGATTACTAGAAGAAGGAAACCTGGTAGTCACACCAATTTGACCATTTCAAGGTATTTTCCCCAGAACTAGTTGCTTTGCTTGGGGTTTTGAATCTACAAAATAGTACACGGGTCATTTTAGCACCTAGGCCACGCATAAGGTTTCATGTTCCAATCTGGTTTTGAAGCCTTGTACAACCAATCTTGCAGCTGTGTCATCAGCTGCACGATTTGCATTTGCTACATGTGGGTTTTCTGAGCAGATCAAAGTGTGTCATATTATTTATCTTTCTTTTATTTACAGGCCCTTATGCTGTAAAATTGTTTCTCAGTTTCGGTTGCTAATTAAAAAAGAAAAATCTTGATACATTCTGGAGATCTTTTCCCACAGACTCAACGCTTCCATTCAGTGACTGCCCTGTTCAATTCTACGCCGTCCGAGTCACGTCCAGGTGGAACAATGTGGAAAGCATGTAGATGTGATATTTTTCTTAAGCTCAGTGCCTGCATGACCCATCAACCACCAAAGAGAAGGTTTACCTTGGCTCATCCAATCAAAGACTGAGCCTCACCTGTCTGAGACAGTTTGAAGCCGAACTGTAGGCGACCTTCGCAACTTTGGCAATCGCTTTTGCTCAACTTCAGCCTGGGCTTCCGGAACAACATCTTGCAAGCACATTTCCCTCTAATTTGCCAACGAGGAAGCGCAGCACACACGAAGCAACCTGTAATCAGTTGGTTCCGGCTTTGACTTCATTTCCATGCTTACCGACTCGCAACACAAAGGACAAGCGGCACGGTGACAAGAGAAAGGGAGCTTTTTTTTTTTTTAACTCCTGCTGCGACCACAGAGATGACTTGAGCCAAACAAAATGAATTCCTAAAGAGCTCAAAGTGCGGGAAAATTACAGATCTAAAATGAGAGGGATTTTAAACATTTGGCATATGGAAGAATGTCAAGAAGCGGCGTGGAGGGAGACATAGAGGATCCTCAGCCAACCAGCTTCTATGTGCAGAAAACCATTGTTTACAAATCCAAAATCTAAAACAGAATATTAGAAACAGGGAAGGAAAGCATTTTAATCCTCCTAGAAAGATTGAAATTGACCAAAGCAGCATGTTATGTTTGCATCCATCAAATATTATTGAGAAAACACATCAGTACTAGTAAGACTAAAGTCAGCACACCATCACAAGTGCTTTCACTTGTGTTTTGTTTTGTAAAATTAGTTCACCGAAATGCCACTTCTTTGATTCTACTTAATACTAACTTAAATGTCTAAATTTATACAACTCTTCCTGTTTTATTGCCATTGTTTAATAACTATTGCTCTTCCAAAATTTTATATCAACACTCCAGAGCAATTTTATTGTCAAAGACTGACTGAGGCCTTTCTGCTGAGACGTTGCGTCAAGAAAAATTGTGCTACACTATGAAACCACTGGGTGGCACACTAAAGCAAGGTAATCTCAGTTCTGATTGAACTATGTCAAAACTAACCCAGACTTTAGGGGTGGGGGAGGACATAAGTCCACAGGACTTATGCAAAGATGATTTATCAGAAGAGTTCCTTTAAAACTCAAGAATGTACCCCGTATGAGAATGGAGAACATTTTTGATGATGCTCCATAGAGATGCACTTTACCAGTCCATCCAACTAAGGGATTAACTAAGGTTAGGTCTGCAAAAAGATTCTAACCAGTTATTATTTTACCTGCAGCAAGAAGCTGCCTGTAGTTTTATGCATACCTCTCTATATGAATGACTTCAACGAAAATGCTTTACACATTGGTTTCGCTTCATCTGTTTTCCTGAGCTCATGTGAAACATGACTATATAGTGTTTGGATGTCTCTTTCTTCGCCTCCTCAACCTTACCATTATCTAGATGAAAAATACTTCATATATAATCTAAGATCTTCTCACTGAAGTATTTATACTTCTGCATCAGGTAACATCTCGCAAGACTTCACAGGCCTCACTTCCTTTTGCATCCAGCGTCGCTGCTGTGGATGCAAAAAATGGCTCAAGTGACAAGAGGTTTGCGCTGCGAAGGTTGGCGAGCAGAAAAATAACGCGATAAAAGCGCGGAGCAAGTTATCTCAAAGCGCAACCCTCTTCGAATAAACGCGGGGACCAATAAAACATGCAAACGCGCTCCCTCGTCTTTGTGCACACGCAAACACACGCAAGCACGCTCACTCTCGCATAGTTTCTCTTCCTCTCCGGTTTAAAACGCACTCTATATTCAGCCCATATCCGGGTTGACGGTTCTGCACCAGCTCAGACTCCAGCCACTTGAATGAAGGAAACAGGGACAGGGAATCCCCATGTCACTCATTATGAAACTCTCACACACACTTCACACCGCCAGGCAGGGTTCATGCACACGTTTGGTGGGGCTGAGCAGAGAAGTCGGTTGGCGGCAACAGGGAAAAGAAAATGTGAAAAAAGGAAGGTAAAACAGAGTTGAGCAAAAAAAAAAAACAACCAGATGCTTTTTTTGAGTGTTCAAGTTTTGCATGAAAGAAAAGCTACGTCTTTTCTTAGAAAGTGAAAATAAGAAGAAAAAAAAAACAGTCCAAGTGTGACGAATAAAGATAAAACACTTTTTTAAAGTCAAAAGGTAACTTCCAATATTATTGAAAACAGGAAAGTGAAATAGATCAGAGGAAGGACTGCTTTTCAGCTAAACCAGTGTATCCGAGTCATTTTAAAGCTGTAGTGTTTCCCAATAAATGTTGTAAGAAGTTATACGTTTTTAATAACATACACAATATTAGCTTGAAAACTTTCTGAAACCTAAAGGCCCGATGTTGCATCCAAATCAGACAGGACAGTATCACGTGCTTTAAAGAAACTCCTTCCTGTTCTCTGGTCAAGTTCATTTCTACATAGTTAGAAAATGTGCTAAAGGTGCACAACTGCAGTCCAGACTCTGTGAAACAGTCAATAGAAAGCTGTGAGGGGAATACTAGCATATCATGGTTAGCCAGTCGAGGTATTCTTAGAGAGCGCACAAATAGTCTCCATCGTTTTTCTCAGCATTTTCTTCTAGGCCCAAAATACTGCACTTCCTGTCTCATTTCAAAATAAGAGTTTCAAATGCAGTAACCAGAATTTGGGTTTAAATTTGGTTTTCTCCTTCACATCTGTGGCTCATGACAATCGTTTATTACTAAGGACGGCACAAAGATAGAGACTGCACAAGACTGAGATATACCTACTCTGAGTTTGAATATGACGCATCCTGTGACACTGCTAATAAAAGCCATGACACGAGTTTTGTCTTTTTTCTAAACCGATAGGAGTATTTTGCAAAAAAAGAAAACGGTGAGTAGTTTCGGCGATGCAACCCGGGGACTTATTTTCTCAGGACGTCTGACTCCGGCTGGTGGTTTCTTGTGTACTTTGAATTGGGCCACGAGAACAAGCCGGCAGGTGTCGATTCAACCGTAACTGGGCAGCCGAGTCGACGCCAATGATTTAAAATCTAGAGCAAGCAACTTTAACAGGAAATACAACCCTGAAAAAAGAAACATGAAACATTGAATCAGCCCAAAATGTTCAGGCACTTTTCCTTCACAAAAGCGGCCCCAGAGTACCGGTGACGGAGCATCCCCACAGCATCATGCTGCCACCATCACATCTAAACATAGGGGCTGACGTTATCTGCAATATTTTAAAAACATTACATGAGGCTTCTGTAGGCTTTTTGTTGTTGTTGTTGTTGTTTGTTTTTTTGTGCCATTAAACGTTTTCTCACTGCAACTCTCTCATTGAGGGCAGTTTTGACAATAAAAGAGCAGCCGAGTCGCGGACTTGAAAATTCTAATTCTGGCTCTTGGAGGAACTGCAAGCGCCCCGTGAACGCACCACCCGACTTCCCGAGAAGCCGCACAATGCATTAATAATTTAGGCGACGCCCATCGCATTCCGGCTCCAGTCTCCCAATGGGAGGTGACGCCGGTCTCAAAGGCAGACAGTGAGATTTTATATAGATATGTAGTTTTTTTTGTTGTTGTTCTTAAGTTTGTGGATGGAGATACAGTTACTGACAGGTGCTGTGATGCACCACGCAGAGCCACGTAACCCCGCGTCAGGTCAAGCCATTCAATAACTTTTTTTTTTTTTTTTTAATAATTAAAAAGGAAGAGGAGGACCTGCATGCTCTCTGTCTGACACCGCACACTTCCTTTTATCTCTGCACAAACCGCCCATTATGCATGAGTGAATGCTGCACGGCCTCCAGAACCTTTCAGCTTTTCAACCCCCCCGCCCCCATCTCTGATGTGTCGAGTGCAATTCAAAAGGAAAATATAAATATAGTCAAGATGCACACACACACACACAAAAAAAAATTAGTTTAGGTAAATGCATCTTCATCAAAGTCACATTCACAAGCTGCTTCCTCATCTGGGCTTTGAAGGGACCGCACAGCTGTGAAGTGGAGAACTTATCTGAACTTCTTAATGCGTTTAATTCATAGAGCAAAAATGAACTCACAGACTTACCCCGAGTCACTGGCGGCCAGGCGCAACTTTTGCATGTCTTTGCTCTCTCTTTTTGTTTTTTCTTTTTCTTTTTCCCCCCCTTTCTCTCTCTCTCTCTGTCTCTCTCTCTCTTTTTAAATCAGCCAAGCATTTACGAGGCGCGCTCTGAACACCAACATGACCTGACACATTTTCTTTCACTTTCAAACTTCTGGAGGTCGGAATACTTTTTTTTTAAAATCTCCTCCTCCTCCCCCTCCCCATCCCACCTGAACAGGAGCTCCAGGAGCCCATGTGCGCGCTTTCTGCCCCCATCGTTCATCCTCACTGCCGCACCAGCCTCCCCGCTCCGCTGCGGCTCCACCATTCATACTGAGCCCGTCTGACAGACTTGCAGAGTAATAGATTTTCGCATTTCTGGGCACACCCACCAGATCAGACCTCCCATTTTGTGCCGCGGCGGAGGAAGGCTTGGTCATGAATGGAATTCTCTGGGTCCCGGATGAACCGTGATCCCACGCTCACAGGCATGCAGACGATCCGGACCTCTGAACAAAGCGACGGCTCTGATCATGGTGAGAGATGGGAGAAAAATGAAGCCTTCACTTCCGTAGAAAAGAGAAGTTAAAACAGCTCAAAGCTGCAGTTTGTAAAAAAAAAAAAAAACATATCTATCTATCTATCTATCTATCTATATAAATCTATAGATATGTATATATACATATTTGTTTAAACTGTCAGATGTCATGTGGTATGAGATAATCTGTGAAACAATTGAGCTCCTCTGCCTTCTCCCTGTACACATTTGAAACAGCCAATCAGAGCCAGGAGGAAGGTCTTGACCCAGGCAGTCGTTCTTGTATACACATTCACAACCCGTCTTCCCTCATACTCTGCTACGCTACAACTTCCTCCCGACAACACAAACGCTAAGGCTAGTTAGCGTGGTCGCAAATGATACCAGTTTCCCTGTACCAGTATGTTGTTTTCTCCACCACTGGTACATCGAGCAGCACGTACCTGATGGTGATTGGCAGCGCTAAGAAACCCCTATCTGGCTCCGATTGGTTTCTTTTGACTGGGAGCGGTGCACCACTTCAGGTGGCAATAGTAGCACTGGGAAGAGGTGGTGGAGATTAATCTGTTCATGTGCCATCTCATAATAACATACAATCATGACATAGTGACAGTTTTACAAAATATGAAGAAGAAGAAAAAGTTTCTTATTGCAGCTTTCACTGCAGTAAGTTAACACATTTTCCTCCCCGCATTGCCACATTGGCAAAACACACTCTAACATTCGTGGGATTTTATCATAGCGAAAAATTAGCACACATATGAAAAGCAGAAGAACATTTATATACGAGTTTCAGTCAGAGGAGTAGAGAGCCATGGAAACTCTAGATGGGAAGAAGAATCCCACAGTCTCAGGCATGCACTCCATAACACGTAGAACATGGTGGCTCTGTCTAGGCAAAGTGTTTGTGTGTGTGTTGGCACTCTAAATTTGCACACCAGCTTTAGGGTGAGGCATGGCGGCAGTGGCGTCATGCTGTGGGAATGTTTTTCTTTAGCAGAATACAGGAGACTGGTTCACATTGAGCCTGTATATACTGTAGGACTGGATTGTAACAAAATCATGAACCATTCCAGACTTAAATCTTGTGAACTCTAATATCTTTAGTACGATTGTCTTTCAAGGTGTACGATTTTCTACAAACTTTAAAGCCAGTTGAACAAGAGTAGGTCTGACAAAAACACAAAGATGTATTCATAAATGTCTTTACCTTTTCAAAAATAAAACTCTTACCATTGCAGTACTTTGAATTCTACCATTGTAGTATATTTCAGTTTTGGTTTCACACTTCTATAGATTACATTATTGAACATTTCTTACTTGTAATAGCATTTATCCATCTTCTGCACCCATTCAGTTCATGCAGGCTCATGGGGGATGTGCAGATGCCTACGTCTACGGTCAGTGGGTGAAAGAGTTGTGGGGTCCACCCTGGACAGGACTCTGGTCCTTCACACGTCCCCTTGGTAAAAGGAAAATACCTGTCTCCAGGGCTCGGGCTACATAAAACACTCTCTGAAGGGTTCGCCTCGCAACTTTTGTGTTTGCACATCAGGAACTGCAGACAATTACAGTCTTCAAAGTTTTGTTTGCAGAGTCTTTTCATGTCCTGTGCTGGGAGGATTGGTACTTTCCCAGCGTAAAGCGAACCATCTGTGATTTAAATCTTACGGCGAATCGTCCAGCTGTCGTGAAAACAGGTCAGCTCAGTATATCACTGCAAGCCAACGGTATAAAAAAAAAAAAAAAAAAAAAAAACTTTATAGATGTGTTCAATTTTCCATTGTACGTTTATTTTATAGATTTTGACATTGACACAAAGTTTACTGAATGCCTGTGAGGTCCAAAATCGACAAAGACGTAGTTTCGTCTTCTGATTGGCTTTTATCATCATGTCACTTTTTAGTGCTGCAAACAACTTAATTAAAAACAATTTTAAAAAAATCACAGAATAGTGAACTGCATGAGGAATAAGGATTTCTCTAAGCTGATGGGGGTTGGGGGTCCTGTAGAGTTCAATTTAAACCAATGCTAAATCTACTAAGACACTATATTTTGCCATTTTAATATCATTTGCTTATGTTGGAGGAAGGTGGTATATTAAAAACAAGTCATGCATATCCAAAAGGGAAATTTAGAGCATTTTTGTGAACATGGAGGAAGTAAAAGCAGAAGCTGATATAAAAACCGGAGTGACTTTCTTGCAGCTTGTTTCGCTTAGCTTAGCAGACAGATGCTACAAGCAGGAGATGGAGGCCGTCTCCGTTCTCCCCCTCCATGCTCAAATGTGTCACCTTCTGTCATTCAATGTTGCTGCTCAAAGGTCAACGAGAGGATTCTCCCAAGGAAGCGCACTTTGTTTTGTAAGACGCAAACCAGTGCAATCTAGCCAGTTTCTAACACCAAGTTACATAACGTGATAAGGTCTGCAATCGTCAAGCAGATGTGACGCAACCGCTGGGTTTGTAATTCACTTGACCCTTGGAAGAAAAGTGGACGTTGGAGAAGGGGGAAATGCAGATGTGGCGACATGTCAGGAAGTCCTCCCACACCAGATGTTTCAGTCGTGTTTCTTAAAAATTGCTCTAAATCCTGTTGAAGCAGTTCCCTCTGTGCTCTGAGCAGCATACAGAGGAAAACATAATCTAAGTAAATAAGGGTGTGAAAGCAGCCCGACATGCAGATCACCTGTTTGTGTGCAAACATCCAAATGCACTGAGTTGGATGTTTTAAAAGTGACTTAGTATACTTTCTTGAACAGGTTAGGGTAGGTCTATAGGTTATACAAAACCTGTTCATTCATAGATTATGAGTTTTTAGTCTGGTCAGTTCTGCCTGTGTTACTTTCAGAAGGAGATGTTTGAGAGCCTTTTGTCACTTTAAATCCAAATAAGCTGGTGCTGGCCACGACTCCCAACTTAACGTTTACACTCAGACGTCAAAATGACTACAATTTAAGGACCGGGCATCTTTGACAAGCAGAAGTGGTGCCTCCTGCGCAGCCAACAAGAATGCAGCAAGTAGTTCCTGACTAACTGGTCCTTTCCAGCAGCCATTGTACAGTGCATACAATTTTAAAACCATCTGACCAATCGTGCAAGACTGCTGCTTGGGTTGTCAGGTATCGGGGCTGGGTTCAGCTGGGGTTGCTAGCTAACAGCACAGTGTGACTTAACAATTGGGAGGATTTTGTTGTTTTTCAGACACCAAAAAACTGTAGCTTATCACCAAAAAAACATCTGAGTCTTTCTCTGTCTCCAAGGCTGAGCTCAGCTACTCTAAAGACGAGACTCATTTCAGTTTCTTATCCATTTCTTTGGCCTTATAACCTTGGTCGAGAGCCAAAACATACAACACTAAATTCTAGTGCTTCATTTTTGGGCTGAACTCTTTCTTCACCAGACCGGATTGAAGTGGCACTGGCATTACTCCAGTCACTCTACCCCAACTCTTCCTCTTGTTACCCAAACACCTCATCAAGATACCCAAATTCGTCCACTTGAGGCAGAAATTTGATTTGAACAAAGCAATCCAAGCCCGGCCTCAGATGTAAGATGGATGGTTTTCACCCCAGCTGGCGTAAGCTCTGGAAACCCCTCCCCCCAAAAAAAGACAAAGATGAAATCAGTTTTTCTTAAACGAGACACCCTCTCCACTGTCCCATGACAACTTGTTCACAGAATCGCTGACAACCATCAGCCACGTGCCCAACCCACAAAGGGAACAACAAACAGAGCCAGCATACTCCACAGTGTTACTGTCTATTAAACAAAGATGATACCGAAAGACTACTGCTGTAGTACATTTATCATGTAACTTGTAAATCTAACCTTTAGAAGACAAAAAAAAAAGTGAAGTAGTCACTTTCTATTTGACAAGGTCGGTCTCTCACATCATTGTGAGAGATTCCACTTTATTTACTCTCCTGTGCAACATTGCTCCGTCTCTTTGAGATTTTAAGCATCCATTAATGTACAGCCTTTATGTTTCCAATGCAGCTTTTAAATCAAGTTGAGATTTCTCTGGACCATTGCAAAACATTGAAAGTGTTTTACTTTTCAGCCACAATGTTGAGAGTTTGAATTCAATGGATCTAACTTCAGATGTACTCCAAATTTGACAACAGAAAAGAAATGTTTGATCCCAAGGCAGAGATGGAGGTTTTAGTCAAAGACTTGGGATTAAAGTCTTATGAATAATGCTTACACTAATTAGGCTGGCAAATCAGTCCTTATATATTGTTTTTGGTCTAAAAAACCCCAAAATGAACTTTATGAGTTCTTTCCCTGTGGTGAAGGAATCATTAGGAAAATGACACAAGATCACGACAAGATGGAAATAAAGGAGTGAGCAGGCTTTGTAACGTCTCTGTCCTATCAGTGTCCCTGATAGGGCTCCGTTACTTGTTGTTAATGGCAGGATTTCAGTAATTGTCTCCACTTTTCACAGCCTAAAGAGAAAATGCATCTTTGGAGGTAAAATCTGACTTTTCCAGAGGTTGTCCTCGATTCTTTCCTACTTTCCTTGCGTTTCATCTCCTTGGTGGTCCTCGGTCGGCCCGTTGTTTACAAGAGAAGATCACAGCCTGGGAAGGAACTGTTTACACGAGTGTTAAAACTGAATGCACAAAACTCCCGTGTGCAGTTAAGACGTGAGAAAAGACGAAAAGATGGAGGGTGTGTTCTCTCTGACACACTTACATCGATTATTGTGGAAACAAACACAATGGCGTCCTCCCTCACCCTCCACCCCCCGCTCAGAGAGACAACACTCCTTTTCCCACAGGCTTCA